CACAAGAACCACCCAAACTACCCCCATGAACTACCCAAACCATCCCCATAAACTACCCAAACCAAGGTAAATGCTTCTAAAAAAGCCCCAGATGGACTAGGCCTAGGTGCAGGCACACCAAGCCCTAGCAAACCTAACAGATTAAACTTTTTAGAAGGATTTGGACTTTGTTTCTATCCATTTAGATCTTAAAATTAAGTTGAAAATTTCAAAGTGAATTTGTTAAAATTACATATCATTTTAAAAAATTAAGTAAAAATTTTACATCGGTTTAAGAAATTAAATAAAAACTATATATCATTTTAAAATATTATGTAAAAATTTTCATATCATTCTCAAAAATAGATTTATTAATCTATTCAAAAATATAAAAACTTTATTTTTATATAAAATAAAAATATAATTTAAAACATTTTTATAAAAAACAAATATTTAATATTTAAAAAATAAATTATTTTAACTTAATTTTAAGTTTTGAATATTTATTAATTTTATATAATTTTATATTAATTTTACAATAATAATAATTATTATTAATTTTATTACAATAATTAATAAGTGATATACTCTTATCAACAAAATAGTAGAAAAATAGCTATGGAATAAAACCCCCATTTGGACACAAAAAGAAAGGAAAAATGTCTTTTTCTTTCCTTTCTTCCATTCTTTATTTCCATAAATTTTCCATCTTTCCAAAATTGATGTTTTGATTCCCTATCTCTTCTTTCTGAAATTCTTTCACTAGTGAGCTTTTTCTTCTTCTTCTATTCTATACCCATTTTTTTATTAGATTATCATTTGGCTTTAAACCCATTTTAATTATGCTTAGTTTTAGTATGTTCTTCTTTTTCCTTAACTGGTTTCAATTAATTTTTGTGGTCGGTGCTTTGTTGGAGCTAGGGAAGCTTGTTTTACGGGCTTCATATCTATCATTTCTAGGGTTTTAAGCTTGTTTAATGAATTCGCTTCTTTAAAATAGTCATGGAAATGAAATTAAGATTTTTTATTTTTTAGCTTTCAACTAAGAATTGGATGGTTCTAGGGTTTTCGATGTTAGCTTAGGATTGGAAATATTTTTACTAATAAAAAAATAATGCAAAAATATGTAAATATAACTTAAAATTATATTTTTTAAAAATATAATTTATTAAATAGACTTTTGTTTTAAATAGAAAATAAATATTCAAAACTTAAAATTAAGTTAAAATTAAATAAGAATTCTATTTTGGTCCTTAAACTTTGAAAGAATTCTATTTTGGTCTCTTATTTGCCATGTAAGCTGCTAGCTGATGTAATCATGTAATGTCAGCTGACATTTGCCATTAATGTAGATGGTTTTATAGATGAAAGGACTACATTGGTACACATTTGGGCAATTAAGGATTCAATTAGAACTTTTTAAAGTTTAATGACCAAAATAAAATTTGACCTAAAGTTTAAGAACCATGAATGCTATTTAATCTTAAACTTATTTATTTAGTTTTTTTTTAAGATATTGCATATTTATTTTGTAAATTATTAGTAGTATTATTATATACAAAGTTTATGTATATTTATAAATATATTTGTATTAAATTAAAAAATATAAACTAATATACAAAAATAATTAGTACCAATATATAATATTTTTAAATAAAAATATTGCTCGATACGATATTAACAACTTTGACTCTGGGATGTGTTGTGATTTGCAAGGTGAGAGGATTGGTGTCTGGTGGATGGTGGCATCTACTTGGCATGAAGTTGTGAGATGTTTGTGGTTTCGATTTATAAGGCAAATGAAGAAGTTAGGTCAAGCTGCGATGGCTATTAGAAAAGGTGTAAAGATTAAGGAAATCTAAAATGAGATGAGAGTTAGGGTTAGCCGTATAGAGACAGGAGTTACAGTTAGGAAATTACTAATTAGGGACTAGAGCAGGATAATTATTTCATGTTGGTTTCTCAGTTGATTCGAGTATGGAAATTCAAAATCGTAAAATCATTATAGTCACTTAAATCAAAGACTTTATCGACTTATCTGACAAAACTGCAAAAAAAGACTCAATTTAGTTTAATTGAGAATTTTTTTATTTTGTTAATTTAAATCATAATAAAAAATTATATAAAAATTAAAGAAGTGAATGAAAAAAATTATTCTTAATAAAAATGAGTAACATACAAAAATTTAAAATTACAATCTAATATGATTTTTTTATTTTTTATATAAATATTTTCAAAATTATAAAATATAAAATTTAATTTATTGTTATTGTTGATTTAAACCGATGAATACTCAAACAAACGTGCGCCGCAATCATAATGCAAACTAAGTAGGAAGGGAAGGGAGAGCAAACCGACAAGTTGTTTGGATTCCAGGAAGGGACGTTGGCTTGTTTGCGGAGTCAGATGGGAATAGGGTAAGTCCAAATCAAGGTGAAACGTGGGACTCTTCTTTTTTTTTTTTTTTGATTCGGAAGCTACGTCATCAGAGCCACGTGGGTTGAAATGGCCACAGCATGTGGCGTTGCGTTATACGTGATAAAGTACGTTATCATTTCATTACTCATGTTGTTAGGTGATTAAAATAAAAAAAATTATAAAAATTTATGATTAAATCGTTAAATTTTATAGTTAAATCATCAAAATAAAAACTCCATTAAAATTGTACCTTATTTTTTATTTGGTAAACATGATGGCATTTGATCTCATATTTACAGTAGCTTCCCAAAAAAAGGCATATGAATGTCTTTATCAGTGCTTTAAGCTCTTGCATAGAACTTTCTCTCCTAGAAATATTAGGCTTTTTAACTGTTTCAAGTGTGATAAGATGTCCTTAGAATTTTCAAAATTAAAGTGAGTTAATCAAGTTGGGTCAAATCTTGAGGGAGCTAGCTAGCATCCTGGCAAGTTCTCAAGCAGCAGATATGGATTGTTGAGCTTTGTTCAAAGCATATACCAAAAGATGGCATGGTCTGTAGTTTTCACACCACACTTCTCATGGTTTTAACTCATCATTTTGCAATTTTCAACAAAAAATGGTCCACAAAAGTGGGTTTTTTATTTTGGTTTTATTGGTGGATTGCTAACATGATCTTAATGTGATATATCTTCTCTTTTTTACCAGCTTGTGTTTTCAGACTTTGAGTATAGTCTAAAACTAAAACCCAAACAAAAACTAAAACCCATGTTTTAGTTTTCCACTCGGTCAAGGTCTAGACTTTTTGATAAAAAAAAAAAAATCAATGCTGTGTGAGAGGGACATTATTAGCGGAAAAGATAGCTATATACTTCTCTTCAAAATACTTATTAAGACTATTAAAAGGAAAAAATAACCCTAAAATTTAAATTCAATATATTATTGATTCCATTGTGTTAGGCTTGTCTAATTACTTTTACTCATTGTTCAATACTTATTTGTTTAGAAACAAGAAATACATATATATATATATATATATAATAGAGAAATTTGAAAATTAATCTCTCTAATCATAAAAGTAAATTTGATATTTCGTATATTCTTATCGTATTTATTTTATATCAAATACATATAAAATCAAAATATTATCAAATCAACAAGCCAAATACAAAATGTATTTTTTATTTTTACTAAATTTATATATGTTTTTTTTGTCAAAATTTTAAATTATATTACTTTTATATTTTATAGTAATTACATATTATTTCATTGTATCATGTCTAAAACTAATAGATCTACGTAAAACTACCAGTTAGCTTTGTTCTTCATTGATTCAAAATTTGTAACTAATTATCCCTCTTAAGGCCAACGTGTTAGACAAATGAAGTACAACAAGAACCTTACTTATCCCTACCTTTTCCCTATCTTCCTTTGAAATATCCTCCTTTGATGACCTTCCCTTTCCTCTTTTTGGGAGAATTTCACAAAATGTTATATATATATATATATATATATATAGTTTGCAAGAAATAAAAAATCTAATTATATATGTCATCATCAGTAGTTTCGTAAATAAATAATATTATTACTTAGAGCCCCTTCAATCCAAACGTGATTTTGATATTATGAGAATGAATTAAGTACTCGCTCAGTTTGGATTACACTGTAACTTTTGTTGCGGTGCAATAATTAAACACCTTTTTTGTTATAATTATTTATTTGGATAACTTTATTATGATACCATTAATTATGCATTAATTAATTTTAAATATCTAATTTTATTTTTTATTTTTTACATCACCATTATCATTAATTTTATATTTAAATATATATTTAATTATTGATTTAACCTTATAATTATAATATCTAATTTTATTATTATCGTTATTTTTAATTTGACTAAAATCAATTTTATCACTCATTCAAATTAACACTTCGACTCCAAAAATAATTACTGTGCGCTGAGATGAGTCCTTAGCACACTAAAATCAAGTCCAAGATTGAATGATATGAGATTATTAGCAATTAATTTTGGATAAGAAGAGATTATTAGTTCGTACATCATATCTAAGTATTGGCGTTTGGTTTCCTCGAAACCAAGCCATTAATTGCAGGCTGTTAAATGCTAAGGATACAGTTCCCAATCCTTTGGATAAACATGGCCCATCAAACCCCCCTCCCATGGTTTTCTTCCCTTCATTTTTTTCCAACACCTTAATTGGGTCAACGAGTTCGTCTTTGATTTCATCTTTTCTTTTTCTTTCTTCTTCTAATTTTATAATGCAAAGTTCTCTTCATTTTCACACTGGAGAAATTCATTCTAAGATTAATAACAAAAACTTAAATTCGCTTTGTATATAATATCCAATTAACAGTACACTACCACCATTAAGTGCCGTTGGTTGACCAACCAGCCGTCACAGAAAAGAAAACAAAAACCCAGCAGAAAAAAAAAAACAAAAAAAAGACAAGTCAATAAACACGTGGAAAGATCCTGATGGTGGTAACCCACTACGTCATCCAGTTTCGTACCTCGTTGAGGTGTTTTTAACTGTGCCCATCCACTTCTATGAATCTATATAAACCTCCCTCCTTCCTTCATTCTTGCCTATTCCTTTTCATCTTATGCGCTAATCAAAACTCTCCCACTTTCTTCTTCTTCATTTTAGAGAAAAGCAAAGGAAAAAGGAAAAAATATAAATATTGAGCTTTGTGTTCTAGGTGATATAGTAGCATGCCAGGGGGTGGATTCTCATCGGTGCCACCGACGGGGGTGGAGCTCGAAGCTAAGATAACTCCCATCGTTATCATTTCTTGTATAATGGCCGCCACCGGTGGCCTTATGTTCGGTTATGACGTCGGTGTTTCTGGTAATTCTTCATTTTTCATTGCTTGCATGAAAGTTTACAGGATTAATACACAAGATCATGAAGAGGAGTTTAACAAGAAAACAAGTTTTTTTTTTTTTTTTTAGTTTCATTAAATTGTTTAGTTTTCAACTTAATCAGTTGTCTTGTCTTGTAAAAAAAATTGTCTTGTAATTATTGAATTGAATTAATTAGATGAGTTATTGTTTTGATGAAGGTGGCGTTACATCCATGCCCGACTTCTTGCAAAAATTCTTCCCAGTTGTTTATCGAAGAACCAATGACCCTGGAATCAATGGAAATTACTGCAAATATGACAACCAAGGCCTGCAATTGTTCACTTCATCGCTTTATTTGGCTGGTTTAACTGCCACTTTTTTTGCCTCCTACACCACAAGGAGCCTTGGTCGGCGGCTGACGATGTTGATTGCTGGTTTCTTTTTCATTGTTGGTGTTGTTCTTAATGCTGCTGCTCAAGACCTAGCCATGCTTATTATTGGCAGGATATTGCTTGGTTGCGGTGTTGGTTTTGCTAATCAGGTAATTTCAATAAATGGGTATTTACTATGGACCGACCTTTATGACCCAACGCTCCATAAAGTTAGAATTTTAGTGTATGCTTGTTATGTTTATTTTATGTTAAATGAGTTTAAAATATAAAAATTATCCTACTATAATTTATATATTAAATATTAAATATATAATTTTATTTTTATCAAATTAATTTTTATTAAACTTTTAAATCAACATTTTTGTATTTTTTTATATCATTTTCGTATTATCATTGTATCGGATTTAAAATGATCATTTTTATAAAATTCCAACTATTGGTTGATTAATTAATCAAATTGGTTTGATAATTGCATTATTACTTTGTGATTAATTTGCTTTCTTTCCTCTTAGTCATCAGCCAGTTTGTGTTATACATGTGATTGTGACCCTTTTTCTCTCCATTGGTTTAATTTCAGAAGATATCATGTGAAAAATATCTTTTAGCTTCGGTTTCGACCGGACAAAAGTGCTTCAAAAGCATGTTTCTCTACATTTTCTTCTTGCTCTTAGAATCTTTTTTTTATTATTATTTTCTTAGATAAAATTATCCTTTTTTTTTTTAAATCTTTATAAAAGTCTTTTTGTGAATTACGTGTGATGCTTGTTGACCTTTTTTCGTTTCCTCCAGTCTTGTGTGTGCACATTTTTTAATTGTTTATCTTATCTTTCTGTATTTAATTTTTTTCTTTTATGGATCTTTTTGTATTTACTTGGACCTTAAATTCAACTACCCCATGTAACCAAACTTGCCGCTGATGGAAACGGCAGGGGTACATAAGAACCAAAGGTTTTTTTTTTTTTTTTTTTAAATTTTTAAACCTAAAGATTATTATTATTATTATTATTATTATTATTATTATTATTATTTGGTCTACAAAGACTTGGCCTAATGATTGAGATGCTTGATGAGAACATAAAAAGTTTGGCTTCGAACGAAACTCTCCTTTCCCCAATATATCATGTAGACCAAAAAATGTGGAACCATGTGTCTACAATTTGAAATTTCGAATATTGAAAGTTAATTTTATATATTAACCGCCATAAACAATTTATGAGGTTACTAAACATCTTAATTGAGGAGAGGCTTGCTCATATATATATATATATATATATATATATTAGTTGATTCGATAATTTATGTATTATATTTATTTATTTTGTGTAAAATATATATAAAATACAAAACTTATTATGTTACAATTTGTGTCTACAAATTAAACACAAAATATTTTAGTTTTTGTTAAACACATATAATTTTTGTTAAAATTTTAAATTATATCGCTTTCATTTCATATTGTTATATAGTGTTTAAAATTAATTGATCCAGCATTAGCCCTCTTATTTAATTAAAACTTGATTTAGTTTAGATGTGGAAATTTTGAATTTAATATTGCAAATCATATGTAAAATAGGCTGTGCCACTGTTCCTATCAGAGATAGCACCCACAAGAATTCGTGGAGGGTTAAACATATTATTCCAGCTTAATGTCACCATTGGAATTCTCTTTGCCAATCTTATCAACTACGGGACTGCCAAGTAAGCCTCTTTCTCCCACTTACTCTTATTATATGTTTCTTCATTTTCATAAAAATTTTATCGGTGGAGCTAACAAGAGAAACTACTGATATGCTTTTCTATGAATTTAGCATTATATTCATTATGTACTATGTATATAGTTTTTGTAACTGTTGAAATTAAAAGGGTACGAAGTACACGTGCCCTGTTTTAGTCTCGATTAACTTCTCTTCCTTGGCATATTTCTCGATCGACAGTCGAAACCTGTTAGCAGTTGACACATTAGAGTAAAAAATTTGCTTTCTTACTAACCAAGTAAAAAGTCTGGCAGATGGTAATGTTTTTCCTGGGAGGCTCCAAACCGAGTTCAAAGATGCCATTGATAAGTCTAACTTGGTTATTTTAAGCAACAGCTTCCTGTTGCTCGGTCGTTTTCTTTGGCTGGAACAGCGTAGTCAATATGAATTTTTGAAAGTCTATTTGAATCCAAATCAAGTACTTTGAATTCTAAGACTGTCAGATTTGATAATTCAATTGATTCTAGTCTGGATAATCCAAAGGCTAGATCTGTGACCTTAAAATTTTAATATGTTATGGAATTAGTTTCAGTTGTTACCAACAACTTTGAACTCATTTATTGTCGTAGTAATTTGTATATGTGAAGAACCACTGACAAAATTTGATGTAATGATACTCAGGGATTTTGCTATCTTGTTTGTTGCCAATAATTCCTTTCTGGCTGATAACAGTATCCTTTCAGGGTACAAATTTAAATGTGAACTTTTAGGAGAAAAAAGGAACCTTGATTTGCTTTTTAATAGGACAACCATGACTCTTAATCGTTGCTCATTTCCACGTTTAGGAAATAATAATGTTTTTTAGGGAGCAGTCATCAGTCAGTCATTTCCTTCTGCATTGCAACTAAATTCTGGCTTTTCTGCTAAATATCATTGATTGCTTTGCTTTGCAACGACAGAATTGAGGGGGGATGGGGTTGGAGACTATCATTGGGATTGGCTGGTATTCCAGCACTTCTCCTAACCGTGGGGGCCCTCCTGGTGGTTGACAGTCCTAACAGTCTCATTGAGCGTGGTCACCTGGAAGAAGGAAAGGCTGTGCTCAGAAGGATCCGGGGCACAGATAATATTGAGCCTGAGTTCCTGGAGCTTGTCGAGGCAAGTCGTGTGGCTAAACAAGTGAAACACCCTTTTAGGAATCTCCTTAAACGGAGGAACCGCCCCCAACTTGTCATTGCAATTGCCCTGCAGGTTAGTACTTTACTGAAACTTATTGCTGATCTGCTTCAAGGTTTCCAACCAATGATAATGTTGGAACATGTCCGGTTGAGTAATTCTTACTGATAAGCCTGCTTTTCTATTAATTTGGATACTTGGAACAGATCTTCCAACAATGTACCGGGATCAATGCAATCATGTTTTATGCTCCAGTCCTGTTTGACACACTGGGATTTGGCAATGATGCTGCCCTTTACTCTGCTGTTATAACTGGGGCTGTCAATGTGCTATCCACCATTGTTTCCATTTACTCAGTTGACAAAGTGGGCCGTCGCGTGCTGTTGCTTGAAGCTGGTGTCCAGATGTTTTTCTCTCAAGTAGTAATAGCAATTATTCTAGGAATCAAGGTTAAAGATCATTCTGATGATCTCCATAGAGGTTTTGCAATCCTAGTAGTTGTTATGGTATGTACTTTCGTGTCAGCTTTTGCATGGTCTTGGGGGCCTCTTGGTTGGCTGATCCCTAGTGAAACATTCCCCCTGGAGACCCGCTCGGCAGGGCAGAGTGTGACTGTTTCCGTTAATTTGCTCTTTACCTTTGTTATAGCTCAGGCTTTCCTCTCAATGCTCTGCCATTTCAAGTTTGGAATCTTCTTGTTCTTCTCTGGCTGGGTCCTAATCATGTCAATCTTTACGCTGTTCCTACTACCGGAGACAAAAAATGTTCCAATTGAAGAGATGACTGAGAGAGTGTGGAAGCAACACTGGTTTTGGAAGAGATTCATGGATGATGATCATCAGGGAGCAGCTGTTACCAATGGTGATACTGCAAAGAAAAATGGACATGCTAATGGATTTGATCCAACTTCCCAGTTGTAAATTTGAGATCTTTCTCATTTCTAGAATGAATAGACGCATTAGGGAATAGAAAATAGATATAGGAATCAAAGAAATGTACGGTTAGTGTCATTTGAAATTCCCGGTGAAATTATTGTGAAAGTATTTGATGTATAATGGTTGCTATCAAAAATCAATCGTTGTGAAATAGTTATTACAGTAGGGAATTTTTTCCTGCTGAGATATAATCATTCATTCACAGAATTTTAATCTGCAGTTGATCTTAGATCACTATGTTAAATCAAAATAATCTTAATTTCCAATTTCTCTCTGCTCTAACCCAAAGATGAGAGCAAATTCTCTAGATGAATTACTCTTGTTGATCTGCTATTGGTGTATTTTCATCCTTAACCAATGTAATTCCCTGTTAGGAAATTATCATCGACAAAGTTATCATTTACTGGGTACCAAATGAAATCCTAAAAGGATCAGAGATGAGAGAACAACACGCACATTATATTAGGATGGCCACATGTAACCCCATATTGTCCAAACTTGAAGGTTTCTTGTTGACTGATTTTCGGATCCGTTAGCATGACATTAGTGCCAACGTTTGGAAGTTGCAGGTTCGAATGAGATTCGTCGTATAATATTTTTTCAGCCAAATAAGTATAAGGATGTAAGTTCAAGGATAGATTAGAAATTAAAAAAAAAAATTGAAGGGTTCTTCTCCCTTTACACTGTCCATTTAGCCCCAAGTGGAGTGCTTGCCAATGTAACACGTGAAGTTTTAGTCTCAGCAAAATTTCCACTAATACTACTACTCTCTGACAGTTATTGCCATGTGCAAACACAACTTGGGATTTTTTTTGAGATTGTTAGTGCACATAAGGTAGATTCTGAAATAAAGGAATAAGAGAATGTCAAGTTGGTAAAAGGTCTAAATATTTAATGACTTTGGGTCATGTATGATACATAAGATTATTTATAGGATATGATGATAATTATTTTATATTATATTTGATTTGTATAAAAAAAAAAAGGGATAGGATTATAAGGGAAATTAATATCCTCTTGGCATAGGATTATTCAATTCTTTTTTAAGTAGAGAAAATTATTTTTAATTTATAAAATTAAATTTATATATTTAATTATACCTTTAAAAATTACATCAATAATTTAAATTGTATAAATTTAAAAAATATATAATTTTGATAAATAAATAAATTATTTCATCTTAATTCTTACATACATCAAATACAAAATAAGATAGTATTATTTAATCTAATCTCAATTTATAATATCATTTTATTCTATCGTGTCATAAATTTTTTAATACTAATCATGAACTCAACTTCTATTGTATAGCATTTCTTTGAAACTGGTACTTGAAAAGAAGCTACACCAGTAAATCCAGATCTAAATAATTGTTTTTTTCTACCCTCCACCCCCCCCTCCTTTTTTCTGATGAAAGGAACAGGAGACGACAAGAAAATGAAGGTGTATACTTGAATTTGGGAGGCATTATGTTTATCAATGGCACTTAACACTAAAGAAAAATATATATGTAGTGCCAATGTGCATCCTGTAGTCTAACATTCCTTGTTCGATTATGAACGTTGATTGTATCTGCAATTATTTCTACAACTCGCCCAACATCCTCCCACATTCTTTCGCTTGCAAGCGTTTTTAAGCCATTGCCCTGAAGTTTAAACAATAATTGGATAATGATGATGTAAATCAGCAGAGATGGGTGTGGCAACAACCGCTCATATATGCTTTAGAATTTGTTTTTTTTTTTTTTTTTTTTTTCAGTGTTGCTATTTTGTTAAGTCATAATCAATAATCACAAGTCCTTGTACCTTTAATATATCTTCCCAATCATTTTTTTTTCCTTCCTCAATTAATTTATTAGTGGTAGTTTGTTGAGATCTGGTCTGTTTCTTCTTAGATGTAATGTCAGTAGAGGAACCAAAAATGCATGATTAACAGAAAAAATAAAAAATAAAAAGAAAACAAAAACATCTGATTATTTTAACAACCCATTCTAGCATATTATCTACTACTTGAATAAAATGCTAATATACCCCCTTCCTTTTACCTTTTCATTTATGGCATATTTCTCTACTTCAAATGATCAAGAGATTGTGAAAACACACACAAATGAGTTGTTATTGAGTGAACTGAAATCGGCTCAAGACTGAAGGTTTCAAGTTGGAATCTCATTTATTATTAAAAAAAAAAAGGAGATAGTACAAAAAACTCTACTACGTTGCTTTAATAACATGAATACAAACTCTTTTTATCATAAATGTTTGAAGCATAATTAGGTGACATTACTTGATAGTAAATGGGTATTTAGTTCGTAAAATTTAGATTTCAAAAAATAGAAAGTGATTTTCGAGAAAGTATTGATTCATGACAAAGAGTGATTTTCATGACATGAAATTATTAAATTTTATATTTTGTTAAAAAAAAAGTCAATTATTTAATAATTTATTTTTATTATAATGTCTTTCATTATATAATAAACATAATAATTTGTAAAAAAAATTTGACAATTAATGCATTTCAAATCCGCAATATTTGAGTGGCTAATTATAAAAAAATTGGTTATCAATTACTATGTTAAGTTCATCTAAGAAACGCAGCAAATAATTTACAATTATTATGTTTCAAAGCCTAAAACATAGGATTCAAGTGAGATATTAAAAAAAATTTCAAAATCAATTACTATGCCTTCTATTCCAAAAAATGTAGTAAATACGATAATAATATGCAATCAAGTTGCATTTTGGAATTCCAAAACTCTTACCCTCTTGTTTATGATGGTTGGGGTGAGCTATTGAATGTCATCTTCCCTTTTTTTTTTTTTTAAACAGAAATTTATAAAATTTTGTATTAAAATGATTAAATAAAAATTAAAATAATTAAAATAATAAATTAAAAGTACATAATACATAAATTAAGTGTGTAAATTTTGAAAAAAAATTTATATATTTTTTAGATAATTATTTTTTATAAAAATTTTAATAAAATTTTTATTTGTTGAATAAATATTGATTATTGATTTTCTTGTTAAACTCTATCAATTAATCTATTTTTATTTTTTATTAAAATTTTAATTAAATCATTATTATTAAAAATTGTATAAATTTTACCTAAAAAATTATTAAATGCACTAATAGTAAAGTTTTTTAATTATACAAGTGAGGTTAAAATGATAAAACATATATTTTATATATTTAAAAATTTAATTTAAAAAAAAATAAGATATATGTCATCATTTTAACCCCATTTATGAGTTAAAAAATTCTATTACTAATGTATCAAATAATTTTTTAAAATTTTATCTAAATTTTATCCAATTTCTTTCTTAAGTACTTGATCAAGAAAACAAACTTATAATAATAATAATAATAACAATAATAATAGTTTTCTCCCTCTCATTAAGAAGAAGAAAAAAACTTGTACAGTGTTGTCAACGATTTGGTCAACTGAGGATGTAGGTCATTGGGAAACGTAGTGACAAGGCAATAACGTTGCTCACCAAATAATAAGGCAATTAATGTGGTTAAATACTGTATCTCTTTGAACAAAAATATAGTAAATAATAATAATTATTACGTTTTAAATCGTACAAATACAATATTGAGTGTAAAAAATTAAAAAAAAAATTAAAAAATTATTTGGTTAGCAAATACTGTATTTATGTTCAAAGAAACGTAATAAATAATCATAATTATTATGTTTTAAAAACTTATAAACGTAGTATTCAAATGAAAAAAGAAAATTAATGAGTTATCAGATATTATGTTTATGTTCAAAAGAATCATAGTAATAGAAACATAATAAATATCACAATTATTGTCTTTAAAAGCCTACAAATGCAATATTTGAATAAAAAATATAAAAAGATTTATTGAGTTGGTCAATAGTATATTTTTGTTTAAAAAACAAAATAAATAATTCACAATTATTGTGTTTCAAAGCTACAATGCATATTCAAGTGAAAAAATATAAAATCTCAATTAAAAAAAATTTTCAAATTAAAGTAATCACAATTAACTTGATTTCATATGTTGATTTTCATGAGTAAAATACAAAGTAAAATTTTTTATTTAGGTCAAATGTAGAGACAAATTTTTTTTTTTTTTTGGAATCTTTAAAAAACTACAAAGAGAGAAAGTTTTTATTCTGGGACTTTTTGAGTACTATTTTGAATCTAAGATTATCCCTGAAATAAAATATTTGTGAACCAAACGTAGGAATCACATCCCACAAGTAAGATTTTGCGAAAAATCTTATATTCATTTAAATCAAACATCTCTTAAGAGTGCTAGGTGAGTGGGTTTTTAGCTGGATGCCATCTGTCCTTATGCTTATCATCCACCTTAAATAAATAGAGGAAAAAATGCAACTACAAAAGTAGTTAATCCTACTTCAATCTGGATAATATTTCTTATGTTCTAAATGTGTCACTATTTTACACTCAATAATATCGACATGACATACTGAAGGAAATTGTGCATAATGTACAAAGTACTAGCAATGAAATTTTAAAAATTTTCAATTTCTCAAAACCAAGTTCAATCAACAAGATCATACAAACTTGATATTTACTTTTGATTAGAAGTATATTACCTCTTGTGCCGATTTTTCTTAACACCAAGCAAATAAGATCACAAAATTTGTTTTAGCAAGCCAAGAGCTGTCTAAACGTACAACCTTTAATGGTGATCCATACAAACAATTATAAAAAAACTTTTACAAAAATGTGAGAAACAAAACCAATATTCTAACTAGTAAGTATTATAAAACCCTCTCTTTACTTTTTCTCAAGTTTGTTTTCAACACGAGATGAAAGTGTATCTTTTATTCTTCTTAGAAGAGGGATAGCTAATGTTCTTATATAGAGAAGGGTTCGACTACTTTAGGGTTAACATAAGACAACTTAATTCTCAATTAATCTTTATACATGTCGATTGTTATAACAAGTAGACATTGCATCTTTTGTTAATTCTTCTACCTTTGGGTTTAATCCAATCCAAATTAAGTCCAATTTAATTTGTCTTAATTTTAATTTTTTACAATTGTCTTATTGTGTGTGACCGGTTAAATTTCTTAGCATGTTGGCATTAAACACAAACATTGTAATCCTTATGTTCGGACTTAGAGAAATCAAATCTTTTGACTTTATCTATAATTATCTAATTAGTTAATTTTATATTTATAGATCATGATTAATGTTAGCTATATTGTCAAGACTCCCAATTGCTAAAGAAAGTCAATGTGGCTTGACAGTCTATCCGTGCATGGTTTTAATGTATAATTAATATCCTTTAATTACTAAACATCGTGGCTTGAATATTAAATATGGTTTAGTATCTACTCAATTTTATTCAACCATGTTAAGTCTTGTTATTGACATTAACTCACAAATAAGTTTTAAAATAATTCTAAGCTCTTATTTCACTCTAGTAAAATTTTTTTAAAGTTAATTCAATGAAGACTAATTAAAATACTCTCTTAATCACACAAGATAACGAATTCTATCTTAATTA